CTGATCTCTTAGCTGTCAGGACAAGTAAAAAGGCATAAGAATAGGTATAAGGGCAAGAATGGGGAAGGGCAAGAATTAGAGCAGGGTGTTATAAGCATTCAGTGCAGGGGGGAAATTTCCAGGTTTAATTATGGTCTGTGGACTATGGCATACATTCAGGACTCCATTCTCCCCTCATTCCCTGGTGATTTTCCACTGATGATCCCTGAGACACTTGTACAGACAAGAGGAAAAGCTGTTCTTTTATGTAGTAAGTCAGTAACATGGGTTAAACCCAACATATGAAAACAGCTCTGAGATACTTATGCTATTAGATTTCTGACATACCGTTTTAAAGCCACACTTACAACCTTTTCTTTTCCCCTCTCACTTACCCTTGGTAAAGGCACAGTCCTTTGCTCATTTGGAGGCTGGCAAGCCACAGAGTAATACCCATCCAAAGAGTTATATCTCTCACGCAATGATGTCTGATAGACAGATGAGTGCATCACATCCATTGGAGGTAAAGAATTGCTCCTAATAATATCATCTCTTGGGTACATCTGTGGACGCCAGATACGCCTGCTGTCATACACTGGGGCATACATTCCAGAAGGGACAGGAGGAACTGGTCCATACGGCTGCGGAGGAGGAGGTTGGTAAGGAGAATTCAGTCGATCTCGAGGGGGAAATGTACTGTAATGATCGGCATATGGCACGGAAGCAGGTGGGAGGGAGGATTCTGGAACGTTATTGGACCTCACAAAGCGAGGAACACAGGGAGCCACACCAGCTGGTACTGTTGGAGGTGGTGCGTAGTATCCTTGAAAATTGGAGAAAGGCATATTTAATGTGGTCTCACATGACCTAGAATTTTAAGCAGTTCTAAAAATGTAAGTAGCACTCAAATCTGGCTTCAGATCCAAGCGTCTTGCTTCTATACCCCCATTTTAATCCTGTCACTATTCTGTGGATGTACAGTGCATGCGTAAGAGCACAGTGTCTACAGAAGCAGAGCTGACAACTTGGCAGTGTTTTCACTGGACCTGACCCAGCTGGGAGTAGGTGGCAGACAAATTCTACATTCCTCCATGCTGTAATACTTTTAAGAACCTTACCAGGACAGGTGGTACTTTCGCATCCCTCTCCATACTGAACCCACATGTATGTATATTAGCTGGATACATACCTTAAGAAGCCTAACAGCATACACTGAGATGTGTTAATATAGAAAAACACTTTAGGTTTAAGACAGTGATGCTCACTCTGTTGGCCCCATTACCATTATGTTCTGTCTTTCTCCTTACTAAGGAATTGAAAAGCTTAGTGCTTAGGCTCTGTTTGAATGGATGCCTAAAGGACATTTAGTATTGTACCATCAGAAGGATCTGAAGGAACTCAAGTATTCACCTACCCTGACCCAGGAATGTTATTTGCCCAGGCGATAGGAAAAACAATTACAACAATTTGGTGCCTTCTTTCTGCACCTTGGGATATTACTTCAGACTTGAACAAGACTGTAGAGAGCAAATCTGATTAAAGGTAACTGAGTACTAAGGGACAGAAGGGAATGGGAGACCATGAGATCTGAACTGTTTTAGCTGTTGAGACATACAATTCCCACAACACATGGTGTGCACAGACAGGAACTGCAATGCCAGAACAGACTATTGGCCCACCCACTCTTAGCAGTAAAAGGGATTATATTGTCCCATTAAGAAAAAACAGATTCAGCTGAGAACTTCAAAAATAACCCAAATCATTCCAGCCTGTTTAAACACATGTCCAAGCATATCCATGCAAAAGTGAAGGATTGCCTACAGAACAGCTCTGTGTTACTCACCCGTCTGTGGGTACTGTGGAACTTCATAGGACATCTGGGCCCGCGGATCTTGAAAATACTGAACATTATCAGAATGTGGAGGATAGACTGGTACTCTGGGTACAAATGGGCTGGATTTTGGAGGCACAGAATTCATCTCTGTTCCAATATTAGGAGGACCAGCTGAGGTAGCTGCTGCCTGGCTTACAGGAGTCTTGGGTGGAGAACCAATTTTACTGAAACAGATTGCAAAAGAATTATCAAATACATCTCCCATTATTTCACTCAGTCAACTGCAAGTCACAATGCAATACACTCCAGTATGACAAGGTGTTTCCTATGGAACTTTTACTGAATTTCATTATTTTTCACAGCTAGTACGCTGACTTTCTTCTCAAGGGAACATCATGCACTCATAAGCTGATCTAACCCTTTTGGTATGTACTTACAGCTCAGATACCATCACTGAAAAGGAACAGTCATTATGACAGAGAGGTGCTGAAATGTTGGCCGGAGGCTTAGTGCTGTCTGAACAACAATCCAAACAGCTTTAAAGTCAGATATCTGGAAAACCTTCAGGACTCCAAAGAAACATTTTTGATATTTGGAAATCCAACAACTATTATGCACTACTGTATCATAAAGAATTGTCAAATTCTGTATGCAATTATTTTTTTCCTAAACTGAACAACCCAATGGAACATTAAATATGAGGCTGAAACATAGGTGAGCAGAAGGGATGTGGAGGGATGGATACTGCCATTTTACACGATACACGAGTAGATTTAAAACATGCCCTAAACTTAAAGCATCAATGCTGGCATGTGAAGCTTGGGTTCACAGACCCTTTGAAAACGAAATGACATTGCCACTGCTATAGCAAACCTTGCACAATTATACAACAAGTGAGTATCTCCAATGCACCTCTCTTTCC